TATAATATTAATTATTTGAACATTTTAATAAAACACCTACACAGTTGAATCGTACATTTGAATTCTATCTAATACTTCATTTGGTGTTAATTGGTTTAATAAATCTTCTTCATTTAGAATTTCGTCAGCAAGAGTTATTTGTTCTGCAGTTGCATTTTCCTCAGAAATGTTTAAATTTTCTAACACTTCATTTGACGTTGATTGGTTCAGAACAAATCTTCCTCATTTAAAATTTCATCAATAAGAGTTGTTTGATTTAAAATATTTCCATTTTCTTTACATTCAGAAATGTTTATATTTTCGGAAAATTTGGCTTCAAAACTCGTTTTTAATATTTTTATAATATTTTTTAATTAAAACCTATAAATTTTAATTTTTAAAAAAAGCAGTAAAGTTTAAGGAAACCAAAAAAATAGAAAAGAGAGTGAAAATGCAAGAAAGTTTAAGAGCTCGAAGAAATGAGGAAAGAGAAAGAGAATAATATAACGAAAAAAAGTAAGAGCGAGATCAAGAAAGTAAGAGAGAGAGAGAGAGAGAAAGAGGGGGAGAGAGAGAGAGAGAGAGAGAGAGAGAGAGAGAGAGAGAGAGAGAGATTAATTTTGCTTCAATATTAATTTTTAATATTTTTATAATATTTTTTAATTAAAACCTATAAATTTTAATCTTTAAAAAAAGCAGAAGAGATTAAGAAAACCAGAAAAAAGAAAGGAGAATAAGAATGCAAGAAAGTTTAAGAAAATCTTAATTAGTTTCATTTGTTATCAAACAACTGACATAATCAACGTTATGCGTTATTGATACGTTATTGCACGATAAAGAGGTACATATAAATTATATATAATTTAAATTTTAATTATATAGTTGTTATAAATTATTATAGAGGAATATGCGGACTCCTGGATTCAGATTAGGATTTTAATAATTTATTCACTTTCTGCTTATAGTTTTTAGATTTGGACTTATATATTATTGTTAAAATAACAAAAATTATTTTTTATATTTTTGAAATTCTTTATTTATTTACGCCTCGATAACGGCGTAGGCTCGTATAAGTGTTACACCGTGGCAAGGGTGTAACGTGGGAAGGACTCGTAGTGGTGGTTGTTGAATTGATGCACAATTATAGTTTAACTCACTGGCTATATTTTATGTGTAACTTACAAATTGGTCTGCGCGTTCCGACAGCGTAACGCTATGCGTTAATGATTAAAGTGAACTCCGCAGTGGTCCGCTGGACGGCGGGTTTTATCCCGTCTCAAGTGGGCCACTGCACTGCTCAGCAGTTGCAATTGTTGCTTAATTGCAGCTGCCGCAGTTTTTGGAGGACGCGCGTATTGAGGCTGCCGAAGTCCTGCGTCGGCATCCTCAATTATTATGGGTCATCGTTGCAATATTAGATTGCAACAGTAACAGACCTGCTTATTACTAAGTGTGACGTTGTAAGTAAAGCAAGGCGAGACTTACAACATCCCTCCCTCTTTGAAAAAAGAAAATGAGGGGGTTGAATTTTCTTATACGCTGTACAATATTATTTACATATTACAATTTACGCAAGAATTCTTATTTACTAATATCGCGCGCTATTTTTTAAGATGGACTTGGGCGTCCAGAGGTCCTTTTCAAATTTATTTCTAGTCGGATTCTCCTTTTCTCGTTTTTATCTACCGAGAATCCCGAGGCGCTTGTCTCGTGGACTTGAGGAGTCCGATTCGGTTAGGCGACGCGCGCGTGTGTGTGTGTGTGTGTATACAATTTAATGCGTACAATTTTATCGTGTTCGTTCTTGTCAATACAATGTGGTGTCGTGCTTAGGCTGCACATTTTAATCGCGCCTGTCACGGCACCGTTTCACCTGCGAACTTAGTTTGCTCAACGTTAAATATCTATATATAGCTTGAGGTGTAATGTAAAAAAAATTGATTTCGGGCCGTGTAGAGAGGTAAGACTTATTTTTTATTTAGTCTGCTTGTGCACGATGAGACATTTAGCCGCTTTCAAGAAAAATTTGTTTAAGTGCGAGGGTGAGGCGGAGGCGACGTATCCGATATGTGGGGTGTACCCTTACCAGAGATCGGTGA